TAGACAACCTTAACACCGTTTGAATTTGTCTAATAGCTTATTAAAAACATGACCATATCTAATGGCAGCTATTTCTATAATTGAGCTGTACGGGTATAAAATTGTGAAAATTTTCACTCATCCTGAAATTTCTGCATTATGTTTCAACAGATGACCCCAAGTTCCAATATTGTGAGGAAGGAAAAAGTCAATTTTTTCTGTTTTCTAGGATAGTGCCTCATAATTGTAGTGCAAAACTTTAAAGACTTTCTGTATAGAAACTCTTGGTTCTTGGAAGTGAAAGAAACTTATAGTTTAATGCTAAAGATGTCCCTAGGGCTTGGAAAAAGCAAATCCAATGAAAATAATATGTAAGATATAAATATGAATAATGCAATTAATATGAATGGCTTCTTATTTTAATGGGGAACAGTGGCAATAGTAAGCCTTTTATATGCCATGTCCACAACTTCAGGTGCTATGTAAATGAATACATGCAGGTTAGTGATGGTGGCAGTTTATGGCCCATTAAAACTCATTATATTTTGGGGAAATATAGTCATGGTAGCAGTTCTGCAGAAGAAGAAAGAAAATAATCTTTTCACAAACTAACTGCTTGAACATTCTGGGGTTATAAGGATGGCTGGATATATATTTATACTGAGATAGATAGATAGATAGATAGATGATAGATGGATGGATGGATGGATAGATAGATTGATAGATAGATAGATAGATAGATAGATAGATAGATAGATAGATAGATAGACATTGCCCCCCCCATACACAAATACCTTTTCCTAACATAAAATAATTGTATGAACTCCTGTGCTCAGAAAAAAAAATATAGACAAGGAAATATAAAATACGTATTTATTTCATTGTGGTGGAAAGAAAAGATGTCAGTGTATCTCCCTTCTCAAGGACATAATAATATGTTCCTCAAACGATGAGTAGAAGAAAGAAAAAATGGAACGGGATGGAATGGAATCGATCAAATTGAAAAATGGGTAGTAGAGATTAACTGAGAAGCTGTGAAGAGAATTTGTCAGAGAGGGTTTAGGCCAGGCAAAACAAAAATTGTATTCAAGGATTCTGAACAGAGAAATAAATATCCAAACACATAAGATATACAACACCCAAACAGCAAAAATACAAATTAATGGAGATACAACTGAACAATTTGATATAAAGAAAGGAGTGAGACAAGGATGCCCATTATCTCCTATATTGTTTATATTAACATTGGAAATATTACTAGAAGAAATCAGGAAAGATACAGAAATAACTGGACTAAAAATAAAAAATCAAGAATATAAACTGCAAGCCTTTGCAGATGATATAGTATTCATTTTAGATAAACCCATACAATCTGGACCAAAATTAATGATAAAAGTACAACAATATGGAGAAGTAGCGGGATTGAAAATTAATAAACAAAAAACTAAAATTATAACAAAGAATCTTAACAAGTATCAAAAAGAAGAATTGGAAAATATATTAGGGATACAAATAGCAAAGAAAGTTAAATACTTAGGAATATGGATTACAAACAAAATATCAACTTTGAAGGAAGACAATTATATTAAATTGGCTAAACAAATAGAAAAGGATTTGGAAAAATGGGCAAAACTCCAATTGTCTCTTTTAGGCAAAATTGCTACCATTAAAATGAATATTCTGCCAAGAGTGTTATACTTATTTAGGGTAATACCAGTAAACCCAGGAAGAACATATTTTAAAGATTTAGACAGAATGATATTAAAATTTATTTGGCAGGGAAAAAAAGCAAGAATCAAATTAAAACATCTACAAGACAAAAGAGAGAGAGGGGGAATGGGACTCCCTGATTGGCAGAGTTATTACAAAGCCTCAGCGTTAATATGGATAAAAGATTGGATCGAACTCAAAAACATAAGAACATTAATATTGGAAGGTTTTGACTTAACAAGAGGTTGGCATGCATATCTTTGGGGAGAGAAAATTACAAAACAAGAACAATTTCGCAAACATATTGTAAGAGATAATTTGCTTAAAATATGGAATGAAATCAGAAAATATCACTATGATAGGATTCCTAGGTGGACTTCCATAATGGAAGCACATATTTATCCAAATACAATAGATACAAATAAATTAAAAACATATAAGGACATCTTAAATGAAGAAGGAAAACTAAAAACAAGAGTAGAATTGAGAATGCAAAATGTGGAAATAGAGTGGTGGTCATATTTGCAATTAAAATCCAGATATAAATCTGATATGGAAAAAACTGGAATTCAAATGGAACCAAATCAGTTGGATAAAATTTTATTAGGCCCCAATGAGAAATTAATAACCAAAATTTATAATTTTCTATTGGAATATAAACTAGCAGAGGAAGTAGTTAAAGAGAATATGATCACATGGGCGACGAATTTTGGGTATGCAATAGAATTAAATAAGTGGGAAAATTTGTGGAAAAATATTAATAAATTAACATTATCTGTACCATACAAAGAAAATGCTTATAAATTGTTCTATAGGTGGCATCTACCACCGGCGCGAATTTCTAAAATGTTTCCCGGCACATCTCCACTCTGTTGGAAATGTAAAGCGCATAAAGGGACATATTATCATATATGGTGGTCATGTTCCAAAGCTAAAAAATTCTGGAACAATATAAAAATGCAACTAGAACAAATAATAACTCAAAGGTGCCATTAAAGCCAGAAACTTATTTATTAGGAATACCTACAAGCAAATATGAAAAAGAAATAATATATTTAATAACACACATTTTGACTGCAGCAAGAATTATATACGCACAAAATTGGAAACAAGAAGAGGTCCCGACTCAAGAGAAATTAATATCCAAAATTATGGAATGCGCTGAGATGGATAAACTTACCAAGGAGATCCAAGGAAAAGAAGAATCTGAATATTATCTGGTCTGGCAAAAATGGTATAAATGGTTAGAGGGAAGTGAAAAAAGAAGAGAAGAAGAAAGAAAGAAAAATTGAATAAAAGAAAAGATATCAATAGAGTAAAATAAAGTTTTAAATCAAATGAAATTTAAGAAAGAGACATGAGATATCAATAAAATAATATCATTATATAAGGTGAGAGAAATATTGTATATTGAAGAATATAGGATATTGATATTGTAACAATTCAGATATTATAGGTAGATGTTATAAAGATGATGTTTGTTGTAAATTGTTTTACTTGCATTTATAAATGTATTATGTGGTTTCTTAAATTAATAAAAATTAAAAAAAAAAGATCTAATATGTTTCTGACCTATAGTCAGTGATTTGTCTTTCTATAATGCACTAATCCTGATTTATCACAAAACTGAGTCCAACCAAAATATTTATAACATAATTTTCTAGTTAAATATTCAAGCTCAAGGGTTGAGAAAGGGGCTTTGCTTTAGAAAGGGTGAATGGCATAGAATAAGAAAAAGCAGAGACAAATAGAAAGAGGTGTATTTCACCCTAGTCTCAGCTCTTTTGGAGCACAGTTTAATACTATGCTGTTTAGAATAGTTTGTTCAATGGCTACCAGATCTATACTGAAAATCAGTGCTGCAAAAATTCAGACAACCACTAGATGAAGTAAAGGCTCAGAATTTTTTTGCTACATTTTGCAGCATTGATCAGATAATCTTTTTTTTTTTTAATGCCATGACTTCAGTATAAACTATAGGGAAACATCAGGCTCAACAGCCATCATCTGCAGATATTTTTACTTCTTAATATTCTGGAGGATTTTTCCAATTTTTAAATCCTAATAAAATATATTTTATGCATTGTCCTGGAGAGTAGAGTATTCATATCTAGCCTTCCCAATTGGGGTTCTTTGAAACTCTAAGCTTCCACAATAGGAGTTCCATGAAAGATTGTCATTAAACACATGCATCATTTAGCAATAGCAATAGTACTTAGACTTATATACCGCTTCATAGTGCTTTCCAGCCCTCTCTAAGCGGTTTACAGAGTCAGCCTCTTGCCCCCAACAATCTGGGTCCTCATTTTACCCACCTCAGAAGGATGGAAGGCTTAGTCAACCTTGAGCCTGGTGAGATTCAATCTGCCAAACTGCTGGCAGCCAGCAATCAGCAGAAGTAACCTGCAGTACTGCACTCTAACCACTGAGCCACCTCTTTAAAAAAAATGATATGTGCCATGCAATGCTACCACTCACTGTGCTGGGAATTTTTACATACTATGGTTCAGTTATCAGCCTGCCACTTTGCTGTTGTCAATTTTGTAAAATGTGGATTGTGCATGTTAAAGGTGAATTGTATTCTAAAGTATTTTTATTATTATTATTTGCAATTTTTATGCAGGGAATTCCTGAGACCTGAAAAAAATGTTCCAGGGTACAAATGATGTAAAGGCTGATGTTAGTACTGAAAGGCTGACTCAAGTAATATTAGGTCTGTTACAGATCCTTTGTTTGCCAATGGAACAAAGAAATTACAGTTGTCTGCTGGAATAACCTCCTGAACCATTGGCAACTATGCATTTGCAATTTAAGCATCAAATTTGGAAATATCAGAACATCTCCTCAGTTCAAAAGAATGGCATGAAACCTACAAATAGAGCATGGGCATTTTTCAAACATAGAATAAATTGACTACAGAAAGAATATCCAGCAAAGTTTGAAGGAAAGAAATCCATTTGGTTTGCAAGCTGTTTATATTGGAATGTGATGCCGTATTGCTAGCTTGTGGCAAATAATAGAACTAGGAGAAAATCATTACTGATTGTGGAGCTTGGGATTGGAGAGCGAAGGCAGCAACAAGAGTTTTTAAATCCTGAAAAGCACCAAGCATGGGAAAATAGAAATGCACAAAGCAGATAGTCCAGTGTTTCTCAATCTCAGCAATTTAGAGGATTTGTGAAACTGGGAAATTCTGGATGTTGACACCCACAAATCTTTAAGTTGCCATGGTTGAGAAACACTAACATAGAGGATGATTTGATATGAGACTGAAGAAAAAGGATATAGGAGATTACAAAGATAAGGAAACATTTCATACATTAATCTTTTTTTATTAAAAGTTGTGATAATAAAATGAAATGGGGAGCTGTTTTGTACCCAAGCTTCCCTTCAGCCACCATTTCCTTCTTCTCTTTTTTATGTTCTAATCTACATTCACATTTAATACACTGTACTGTGTCCATGCCAGAATAGCGAAATGTTCTTCTCAAATGGACATGTCCCATCCATAAACTGTCCATTATCTAGCTTAGCACTATGAGTCATTCACTTCTCTTTATGCTTTATTAGAGGAACAAGATGGGTGAAACTGGGAAAATAGAAATACATACAATAAGAGCCCAAATACAAAATAAGCAGTATTGTATGAACATAACAATTAATAAATACAGATAAATCTAAATCTCACCAGCAATGCTGTGTGCATGGGATGTGGATATTGGTCCTCAGTTGAACGTGTGCCATGGATTAGGCTGAATTGTTCCTGGTGCTTGTTTCCTCCAAATGCTAAGGGAAGTGGAGTCCACATGTTTTTGGAGTGACAGTTGCTGGGAAGATGACCTTAAAGGACTGGGTCTCAATAAAGATTCACATTTGGCGAATAGGTAGAGCTCAGTATAAAGAACAACAATAGCAATAAAAGACATAATTATATACACAAGCTTTATGCTGGAGGCATGACAAATATTCTGTCATGTAGGGGGATTCATTAACATTACACTCCTCAGATATTCTGACAATGAGCTATATCCTTGGATATACAAGTGTCTTCCTCAGCCTGGAACAACATAACATAACAACAGTTCAACTTCTACCTGTTGTATCACTTTTTGTTTTTTGCTTTATACCACTGCCTGCCTGCCTCTCCCTTCTCAGATGTTCAGTAGCCTGGATATTATTAATCACCTTTTGATTTGCTTTCTATTTACTCTCTCTCTACTGTCTTTCAGCCTCTTGCATTATTTCAGCTATATCTCAAGTAGTTTTTCCCCAATTTACCTCTTTTGCTTTTCTTTAAGGCGTCGTTCACTTTCTCTGCTAGATACCCTATTTCATCCTCCCCAAATTCTCAAGTTACATTATGATTGTTTGGTCAAATACTATTAGAATGTCAACTCCACACAAAAGAGCACCCACTAGCCAGGTAGAGCACATTCCATTACCAAAGCATCCCATATCACAGTATAACTATGAAAAATTGTACTTTCTTTGAAGCACATGAATATTTGATGTCACATAACACTTTTCTCCTCTGTAAATAATTGCCTTGTTCTTTAAAAAAACAACCCAATAAGTCAAATATGGTGTTTCAATATTTAAGTAAAGCTCTTTTTAGAGTAACAATCAGTTTGAAACAAACAGCTGAAATACTCAACATGTTTAACACTTGGCAAGTATCTCAGGAGAAAGAACTGAAGAGTTGGGAAGAGAAACAGCCTATTTGAAGTTCAGAAAGATATTATCAGCTTTTCACATACTTGAATTCATCTGCCACTTAAAATGTCACAGTTCCTAGTTAAGATAGACACCAAAGTTTGGTTTAGAATGCCCAATTACTTATTCATCCACCTAACTATCCTGCATATAGCCTACCATACTTTCAGAGATTTGAAAGCAATATCAACTTTTCGTCTCTTCAGGTAAATGTTGATGCCTGGCAGCTGTCTGGAATAGTATGTGCCATTTTCTTGGCAAGGTTTTCTGAAATAATTTGTCTTTTTTCTAAAACTAAGAGAGTAACTGGTCCTAAAGCACCCAGTATAAAGGGCTTACACAGTAGTCTTGAAGGGCAGGAGAAAGAGCTGCTACTAAGACAATAGTCAGATAAGATGATTGTGAGGCTTGCCAACAAAACAACTTAAAGTCTCTGAAATTTCACTTGGTTCACATGAAGATAAAAGCACAGAAAATGAAGCACATTTAGATTTGCACGATTGTTACTACAGACATTAGAATAAAAGTAATCCTGACCTATACAGCACTGATTCCTTAGTCTGTCTACCTTGTTGGCATTGAGCTGGCTTAATGCCTAAGTTGCAAGTTGAGTCAGATCTCTCCAGGCCTTGTCTGAAATGTTAATCATTATATTCCACTTTCCTAATCACAACAGAAAAAAAGATATTAGATTGCTGCTCAGCAATCTGCCAAATATTTTATAGATCCTGAAAACTTACATGAGGTTTTTGAAAAAAGTCAAATAGAGGGTTTCATGCAAGTTTGTCAGAAGCTCTCAAATACAGACATTTGGAAAATCAATTTGCTTCCAGTACTGACCTGTTTTGCAATGAATCATCACTGAGGAATACGCCCCATGAGATAGTTCACTGGAGTGCTACTGATATCTGCAATAGAACATTACTATCTTCATTGAAAAAGTCCTCTGCTTCTTTAGTGGGGATTTGAAAAGCAACATTGAACTTCTTCAAGTAGCTAATGGTTCTTTCATGATGTGGAATGTGATGGTGTGTGTGTGTGTGTGTGTGTTACAAAAGAAAGTCATCTATGTTACTGCCAACTCAGTATCAATGATGTCCAATATATTTCATGTCATTGTATGGGAGCTAACAAATAGTCTTATCTGTTTTCAGATGTCTCAACCATTGGCAGCCAAACAGAATTTTTTGAGAGTTTCTTTAATACAGAAATTATGGTAAGTCTTTTCTAAGGTATTATGACAAGGCATGAAAAAAATACATGAGAAGAAGGGTTTAGTAAGAAATTTGCAAATTCTTTGGGACAACACTTCATTACTCCAGGTGGTTTTCACCATGAATCAAATAGGCCCAATGCATTTTAAAGCTTAGGTTTGTTTTTCATATAATGGAACTGAAATGTTTCAGTACTAATGCAAACTACTAACTACCTCTTCTGTCTGTGAATTAATTTGTGAATTTACAACAAGTTGTCCATCAACTTTTGAGTTTCCCAAAGGTTGTTCCCACTTTTCACCTTAAGTAAATTATTAAAAAATAGCTACCTTGAAGAATAATTGTGCGCGCACACACAAACATATACACACTCATTCATTCAGATATGGACTTATAAAGGGCCACATGCTGATGTGGCATGAATTGGAAACAACACAATTATCCATAGTTTCTAAAGGCAAATTGTAGACAAGTCAGTTTTGCAGACTGAGACTCTCAGATTCATTAAATTCATTTCATAATTCTTCATGTTCCAGATAACAGAACAATCCACCTTGTTTCATTTGCAAAATAAGAGGGCAGGTGCAATGATAATGTCAGGTCAGTTCAGTCTTGTATGGTACCTGTCTTTTTCAACGTGCACCATACTCCATGGACTAAGGAGCTGAAGCTGTGTCTGCTTGTTGACAGCTTGGTCAATTGGCCTGTGCTGCTTGGGGAACAGCCATGCCAGTGGGCCTGTAACCTGTGATGATAAACATAGGAGAGCAGCCTTGTCAGTGTATTACCAGAGAGGCAAGATAGCATACTGTCTTGGGTATCTATGCCAAGAGCTAAGTGAATTTGCTTCAGCATAGACAACTGTTTCCAGGCAGAGACAGATGCATTTGGATGCAGGTAGATAACTATGCCTAGAGGCTTCACAGGTGGAGGAAGAAGGCAGCATCAATATTTTAACACCCATCTATCTGTGTCAGAAAAAAACTGGCTACCCACTGTTCCTTCCAGATGCACCATGCCAGCTTTCAATTGCAGCAGTTGTCTGGGAACTTGCACAAGAATAACACAGCAAGATTGAGAAGGCCTGCAGTGATTAAAAAGAATTCAGGATACAGCAGTTCTGCAGTTCATAAGTAGAGGCCCAGTACCCTTCCTGAGGATCTACTGCGGATACCTTGTAGGGATAGACAGTGGAGGCCAAATCAACAAGGTTTCTCTGAGCACCTAAATGAATTGGAGCTCTTACTTTCCACTTGACTTGACTATCATTCAGTTTTTATTATTTCATTTTTCAAAAAGTCTTATTTTTGTTCAGATTCTTTATTTTTCCACCCCAACTGGAAGCTCAAGTGGAAGTCAAGAAGAAACCTGTCAACCGCAATATGCCGAACAGCAGATAGGCCAAAGCAGCTGGCCTCTGCTGTGCCTAATGAAGCCAGCAGCTGCGAATATCTCTTGGTGCTAATGCAGAGACTTCACTCGTGGAGTGAATCTTCTGACTTTTCTGCACACAGGCTGCTCAATAAGGCAGAGCCTGGATGGAAAAATGTCCAGTCATATGGCATGCTGGGATCAAAGTCTGTTTCCAAATAAGATTCTAACTGGTAAAAAAAAAAAGTTAAGCACATTAAGGTGCCAGAAGAAGAATAGAGTTTACTCATCCTTTTGTTCCTTTATGTCTCTGAATTGTTTTAAGACTGGATTTTATTGGTTCCTGCTTTCTCCTGAGGATCCGTGGTTGTTTTGGGCTGCCTTCTATTTCCCAGTCCAGACTTATAGTTTAAATTTCAAAGGGTTTGTTTTAGAAGGCAATGGAAAACTAAACTGAACAGGAGCTAAATCAGTTTAACCTTCATGTATTCTGAAATGCATGCAAACAAGCATAAATAAGTTGTGCAACCTCTCTCCTTCTGTCTCCCCTTCTCTCCCTCTCTCTCCTTTTATTGCACTGTTGCAGAAGCCACAATGCAACCGCTGCCATTTTTACTCCCTAATATTCTATATATTTTTTATACAAGGGACCATACTTATACAAATGAATAATTTGCCTTTCAAAAGTCATGGGAAAAGAATTTTTTGTAATGTCCTGTCATTGGATGGGCAAAAATAATTGAGAGTTTAGGTGAAAGAATTATTTAGGGGAAGAAAATCAAGCTACTGAAAATTTTAAGTTCCCAATTTATCTTTTGAAAAACTCACAAGTCCTCCAAAATGGCTGAAAAGGAAATGGCCCTGAGAACTGTAAGAATGTGCTGGGAGCTGCTAATCGTATCGCCATCGCAGATAATGCATCAATATTTTAGGTCAAGATGCATGTCAGCTACTGGTAGGATTCATACACCACCAAAAGGCAATAAAACAATATGGCAACTGATAAGATCTTGTCATTTGCTGAATTCTCATCACCACCACCACCATAAGTAAAACAAAATACACCACCACTTTTTGTTACTTGCGAATTCGTGTCCGACCCATTGTGACCCCATGGACAACGTTCCTCCAGGCCTTCCTGTCCTCTACCATCCTCTGGAGTCCATTTAAGCTCACACCTACTGCTTCAATGATTCCATCCAGCCACCTCGTTCTCTGTCATCGCTTTCTTCTTTTGCCCTCAATCTTTCCCAGCATTAGACTCTTCTCCAGTGAGGCCTTCCTTCTCATTAGGTGGCTAAAGTATTTGAGTTTCATCTTCAGGACCTGGCCTTCTAAAGAGCAGTCAGGGTTGAACTCCTCTAGGACTGACCAGTTTGATCACCTTGCAGTCCAAGGGACTTGCAGGAGTCTTCTCCAGCACCATAGTTCACCACTAGATTGTGACATCACCACTAGATTGTGATTAATCACTATTCTACCAACAGCATATAAAAATGATTAAGGTTCTTCCAGAGCTCTGGATTTCCACCATCCTGCTGATGTTTCGTGACTTTCCATTCAGGCTTTTGGTGAAGATATTGAAGCCCCAGTGAAATTTGTGGGTCTGTTTATTTTTATTCTTGTGGTGGTTTTTGTTGTTCTTGTTGCTATCTTGTCATCTTTACCCCTTTGTTCTTGTTTCTTTAGGAGTTGGGTGGTATATAAATTTAACAAATAAATACATTTAATAAATCTGATTTAAACTTGCTAAAGGAGGCTGAATAAAAGTGAATATATAATAACATACACCGATTCCAGTGGAAGAGTCGAAATATTTTCATAAGAACATCCTTGCTATGAGAAATTCCAAAATAGTTATAGAAGAAAAGAGATGTCTTCAGGTGTAGCTGAAGCTGTTTAAAAATGCAAAATTGTGATGGACCAGATCTTATCTAAAGATCTTATTTAAGAGCAAAATAAAAATGGAGGGAAAAAAATTAGAAAGGAAGTTTTAGAAACAACTTTCTGTTTGCTTTTCTACAGGCAATAACTTCATTTTAAACTCCAATTTTATGAAAAGCCTAGAGGGAAAGAGAAAAGCATACAAAACAATATGGAAAACATTAGTAATGCAGATCTGAGTGTGGGAAGCACTGGCATATAAATATTCTGATGTAAATGCCCTTATCAATAAAAATCACAGATCATGTGCATTAAGGCAATTTAATTCATTAAAAAATGAGGCAGTGTGTGTGTGATACCACTAGTGTAGATAGTACTTAAAACAGGATACAAAGATATGATTATATCTGTATATGAGATGCAACAGACATCATAGACAGCTGTAATTCCATTCTGATTGTTATATAGCTAATGGTTCAGAAACAGCTGGGCTGGATAACAGCATTTTTAGTGGTCTTTCATAAAACTAGCCTTGACAGAAATCAAATTGTTCAAATATCCCTTTTTCATCTTAATTTGGTGGTCAGCCTCAGAAGATGACAGTACCTGATTGACCTTATCTGAAGCTAAGCAAACTGTGTCCAGGTTAATTCCAGGTTTTAGGTTAGATTGGAAAGCTGGAAAAGTAAAATGTGTACGAAAATCACAAACCACTTATGTACCATTGACAAGAATCAGGTTTGACACAATGGCCTCTTTACCTTACTAGAAAATAAGTAACTAATGAGCAGAAAAGGTTTCTTTCTTAAAATATTTTACATATCCTGATCCTGAAATCAGTTTCAAAGAGGTAACTCACAACCAATACTTTAAGAAAAATATTTCATCTTATTTATATACTTTGTTTGCATTCAATTGCTCAATTTGATTAAATATGCATTGAGGTATTCAGGGATACAACATGAATGAACTTTGTTCTTGTGTATCCATCCTCTCTCTCTCTCTCTCATCTATCTATCTATCTATCTATCTATCTATCTATCTATCTATCTATCTATCTATCTATCTATCTATCATCTATCTATCTATCTATCTCATCTCATCAAGCAGACTTCTAGTGCACAAATCTTTTAAGGATGGCAATCTTTTTAAATATTAGTGCCATTGTAGTCTGTTATGCCTCAATTTTTACTGTACTAAGATGAATCAATGATACAAATAGACTAGCAGTCAGCTATTAAATCATTGTGGAAATTCTTGAATTTTTTCAATTGACAGAAATGTCTATGAGCAGATATACTTGAGTGCATATCTTTGTACCCTTCCATCCACACAAATTGTTGTATCAATATAAGAAAACCCAAAGTGTCAATTTCAGTTGATATAAGCATCTAAAGCCTTAGACCTCTCCTTTCTCATATGTTGATATGATATGAAGATAATCTTGATAATCACAGCTCAGTAGAGAAACAATGCGAACGTGGAAAACTTCTCCTTTCTCATATGTTGATACGATATCAAGATAATCTTGATAATCACATGAATATTGTTTTGCAATGTGGGTGATGCTTTTTCTCAGGTTTGAAAGTAATGTTTCTTCTTGCTTTTATACAACATGACAACCAAATCATTAATTCAATATCTTTTCTGCTTCATTCTTTAGAGCAGGGGTATCAAATGTCAAATATCATGGTGGCGTCACGTGACGCATTTTTCTCATGTGCTAAATCGGGTGTGGGTGTGGCCAGTGTATGTTACATCCGGCCCGCAGGCCACGAGTTTGACAGCCCTGGTTTAGAGGATTTTGCTGCATGCAGGACACAAGAAATGATGAAAGCTATCTCTTCCTGCCCAGAGAAATGGATAATATTAGAGGTGAAACTTTTGTGAAAGGTATTATTATTATTTATTTTATTCATTAAACATGAAACTCAGTCAACTGAAGATTCAAAAATGCATCACAAATACCATTGATTGGTGCTAATGGTTGATACGGGTTGCTGCCAGTGTCCTAGGTATCAACCAAGTATCTTCTTAAGATGTACTGTGATATCTGGCATGTTGTGTTCCAAGTGATGATCTGTCTGTATTCGAAAGTTCCCACAATATCTTCACCTTCTCATTTTCTATAACTTTTTCCACTTTATGTTCCCATTACTTTTTCGATACAGGTAAGTCATATTTTTTACATAATGACCAGTGGATTAATTTAGCAACTTGGTCGTGTCTAGCTTTGTATTGATTTATTTTATTGATTTATTTTATTAGATTTTTAAACCGCTCTTCTCCCACTGGATTCAGGCCGGTGAACAACCAAGAATAAAAACATCACATACAAAATTTAAAAAAAAAATTAAAAAAAGAATTAAACAAATTTTGGCCCAATAAATTTAAAATACCCCAATTAAAATCAATTAACAATTAAAAATATCTAAGGGGGGGAGGATAGGCCAGCCCAGCTTGATGAAATAAAAAAGTTTTAAGGGCACGGCGAAAAGCACGGAGATCTGGGATCCCCACAAAATCAGTTTGTGCGATTTTGCTGCATTCACATATTAAATGTGGAACAGTTTCAACTTTGTTGTTGCAAAGTCGGCAGTTTGGATTGTCGGTGGATTTTTGTATCTTTGCTTTCATGGCATTAGTTTGTAGTGCTTGTTCTTGAGCAGCGAGTATAAACCTTCTGTTTCTTTCTTGATGGTTCCCATCTTAATCCATGCCCATGTAAAGTTGTCATCACATTTTCCTTCAAATATTTTTCAAGTGCTGTCCATGCAAACCATTGGTTTTCCATCTATTTAATCCAGCTGTTTTTCCTTATATTCTGCCTTTGTTTCTGTTGTTTTTATAAAGTTGCTGTTGTTGTTGTTGTTATTATTATTATTGGTTAATCTTTAGTGAGATTCACAATCTTTGAGGCTGGTTAATAGCTCAGCAGCTCGAGTCCTAACCAAGGACCTAGGAACTGTTAAGGTATCGTCGGAGGATGTAAACTGTTCCGAGTAAGGTGGTTTTTTGTAGAGTCAAAATGTTCAAGTCCGGCATATTTACAATTTCTAAATAGCGGGGTAGCCCTTTGGGTATTGCTCCAAGGGCTCCAATTACAATTGGGACAACACACGATTTCTTTTTCCACAGTCGCTCAACTTCAAATTGCAAGTCCCGGTACTTTGTGATTTTTTCTTGCTCCTTATCTTCAATCCGTGCATCACCAGGTATTTCAATGTCAATGAACCATACTTTTTTCTTTTCAACTATTGTTATGTCATGAGTGTTGTGGATCAAGTGCCTGACAGTCTGAATCCTAAAGTCCCACAAGATCTTGAGTTTCTCATTTTCTAAAACTTTCTCAACCTGATGTTCCCAGTGGTTTTTGCTGTACTCAAATCCAAACTTCTGGCACAATTTCCAGTGAATGATCTTAGCAACACGATCATGGCGTTGTAGGTAGTCAGTTTGTGAAATTTTGCTGCACCCACTGATCAGGTGGTCGACTGTCTCATCTTTCTCATTGCAGAGGCGGCATTTGCTGTTGGTGGTAACATGTTGAATTTTTGCCTTCACGCAGTTTGTGGCTAGGGCTTGCTCTTGAGCTGCCAAAATAAAGCTTTCTGTTTCTTTTTTCAGTACTCCTGATCTTAACCAGTTCCAAGTTAGTTTCTGGTCAGCTTTGCCTTCAATACTTTTATTATTATTATCATTATCATTATTATTATTATTATTATTATTATTATTATTATTATTATTAGTTAATCTTTAGTGAGATTCACAGCCTTTGAGGCTGGTTAATAGCTCAGCAGCCCGAGTCCTAACCAAGGACCTAGGAACTGTTAAGGTATCGTCGGAGGATGTATTATTATTATTATTATTATTATTATTATTATTATTATTATTATTAGCTTTGTCATTGACCCACCATAGGAGGGTATATTAGTAATGGTAGTGAGACTGAACTCCAGAGCAAATTAAATTCCCACCCCCAGTTGTTTTTGCTTTACTTATTTGCATGACGTTGCAACTCTCTAGTTGCTATTAGAAGTTAAAGGATTATTATTATTGTCAAAATCAGAAGAAATTGTGTCTTTGGGGATAAAATAGCATGACTTTAGGTAATAAGAGATCAGAAGCACAAGATAATATTTATTGCAGAGAGAATGGTAACATGAATTTAATAGCTAGGTATCCTAAAGCTAAGTATATTGGGTAGGAAACAGAATGTAAACTAAGAAATTAAATTTAATAAACGCAGTGAGGAAAGGTGATAAGATATATAAGGAGAGAGTTACCAAGTTAGGTAAGCCATGTTTAGGAATAAGAAATACATATAACGAGAAAGAAAACCAATGCCAAGACAAATAACAAGCAGAAAAATGAAGTCGCTTAGAGCAATGAGTTTGAAATGCAAGGAAGAATTAAGGTAAGAAGCTGGGACATCTTTCTTTTGTTCAATTGTTCTTTCTCTGTACAGGAGATGGAAAGGATGATTAAGGTATAAGCATTATTAGAAGAGAGAAAGCAGAGTTTTCTCTTCCTGGTAGCAATTTGCTCACTGAGAATTTTGGGTGCATTTTAACTGGGAAAATGTGGGCAATACAAGAAGAAATATTCCTAAACAAGGTATATTGCAAAGGAAACATCAAGCAGATCCACTGAACACCTTCCTAGAATGGCCCAGAAGAGCAACAGAAAACAAAGCAGTAATTTAGATCAGAGAACCTGGAAAGATGAAGCAAGAACTCAGACAATAAAAACAAATGAGCAGGAGGTGAGCAGTCTGTTTAGCATATATTGTTGTTTTAGAGAATGAATGTCCCTCAGGGAGGGACCAACTTTTTAAAAATATCCAGGTAGGTTAAAGGCTCTCCTAAAATGCTTATGTATGTATGTATGTATGTATGTATGTATGTATGTATGTATGTATGTGCAAACAGTGAAGCAAGTGCTTGTTCTCAGCAGATGCCTCTGTAGGTAAAGGAGATTCACCCACAGAGTTCATTAACATCAAAGTATAATGAAAGAACTTAAAGGGAGCTGCATTGCATTTTGTTTGTTTGTTTCTCTACATATGTTTGAAAAACTCTTTATCTATTCACAACCAGGAGAGGTCTATTATTGTTACTGGATTTTCCAGAAAAGATTTAGAAATTGTTTTTTCTGGTAGTAAACCAGGGATGGTATTCACTTACCTTCGCTAAAGGTAAAGGTTCCCCTTGCACATATGTGCTAGTCGTTCCCGATTCTAGGGGGCGGTGCTCATATCTGTTTCAAAGCCAAAGAGCCAGTGCTGTCCGAAGACGTCTCTGTGGTCATGTGGCTGGCATGACTAAATGCCAAAGGTGCACGGAACACTGTTACCTTCCCACCAAAGGTGGTCCCTATTTTTTCTACCTGCATTTTTTACATGCTTTCAAACTGCTAGGTTTGCAGAAGCTGGGACAAGTAATGGGAGCTCACCCTATTACGCGGCACTAGGGATTCAAACTGCTGAACTGCTGACCTTTCGATCGACAAGTTCAGTGTCTTAGCCACTGAGCCACCACGTAACTTCCCTACTGGTTCGCAAATGTAAGTGTGCGTGCGAGCTTCGCTTGCATGAGCCACCTCTGCGCATGCACAGTGCCTTCTGTGCATGCTCAGAGCATCAAAAATGGGTCATGATTACGTTCTGGCAGGTGGATGGAGCATCCCACTGCCACTGCTACTGGTTTGCCCAAACCGGATAGAATCAGCTGAATACCACCACTGAAGTAAACTAGGTGGAGGCATTGTTCGCCACCATATTTTTTTTAAAGAGACTTGTATATGAACTGGAAGAAACAGTTTCTTGCACAAACTAATTCTTCAGGTAAGTTTAAAAGGAGTCTTGCCTGTCATCCAATGTAAAAATTGAATGCAGAAAAAAAAAATCTGTCACTAAGAAAGATCAACTAAGTCTCTCCTTTACCTTCTAATTTTGCCACTATAAATTAAAGCCGTTACTTGTCAATTCCTTTATATTCAGATTTAAAGGAGGGACTTTGAGGTTCAGTTTTTCTTTGAATGAGCTCTATTCCTTAGGAGAGCATCATCAACCATCTTGGAACAAAAAAATAGAAAAGGATACAGAAATAATAATTCAAGAGGATAATACCATGTGAAAATTAGTGTCAAAAGATATGTTATTCTGTATTTTTATACTGACATATTGTATTATCTTTTTAGACTTCTATAAATATTCTGTTGCCAACCCAAAGGCCTTTATTAGAATAATTTAATTCCAGTATAAACTTATGTACTTTTCATGTGATTTCAAGAATGTGTTCATTGAATTTGAGCAGCTAATCCAATGGTGACGATTACATTTCCTCCTAGAAAACATAAATGCTAAATTTGATATTTCCAGATCGTGTTTAATGATAGTGATAGTCATGATACATAATAGTCCTTGGCTGTCTATGCAAGGAGTCTTATTGATATGGATAAGATAAAGCTATTTTATCCATTAACCAACTAAATTGCTTCATACTGATTTTATGGTGGTTTTTTTTTAAATTTGAAATTGGTTTTGAATTGAAATGTTTTAAATTATGGGCCAAACTTATTTAATTATTTTAAATTTATTTTAACTTTTGTACAAATGTTTTACTTTGGCTGTTCACCGCCCTGAGTCCGAAAGGAGAAGGGCGGTATAGAAATATGAATAAATAAATAAATAAATAAATACTTTGTACAGGGATATGTAGAACAATAGTTTCTCCAGTTTTGGCTCTAGTTCTTATAAATTGAAAGGCTGACCATATAGATATAGTCAAAGTCTCAGTGTATGGGTTATCAGAAAATGGATCAATCAATTTCAATTACTTGCTTGTTTTTAAAGATAAAGTCTTCAGATTCTACATTCTGATTATGAAGGAAAAGCAACAGCTTTAGAATATTTTAAAATATTTATCCCACGATCAAACCAAATTCATTTTTACAGTATTTTTTGCCCTTGGACCTAATGCCAGAAAGAATAAATAATGACAGCAATCTAGCATATAATCAAAATAAAAATTGACTGATATGTAAACAAAGGATATAAATGGAAGAAACTAGATTTCATCTATGTTCTGATGTATTGTGTTAATATAGTAAGATAACTTTTTAAAAAAAATCCAGTCTAGCAATGTCTGATTTTTTTTGCCTCAAGAATAACCATTTACTTTTACAATGAGACCACAAGCCCTAGTAATTATTTCTTATATTAGAGGACTTTGAGTTAAATTTTTGCTTTAGAATGATCAGAATTTTGTTTCAGAAAAATATGTTTCTTCTATCATCAGAAAATAGTGGCAGGAACGTATCAAGACCAATTCAACAATGAGGGGGAAAAAAACAAAAAATAGAGGGGGAAAAAAAAGAAAACAGTCCTATTTTCACTTAAATGGTATTTCAATAAAGGCTTTCTATGCAAAATATTTTAATTAAATATAAATTAATGTCTCTCTCCTGTATGGCAGTCATAGAAAGGAATAATATAGTTAAAACAAGTAAATGGAACATTGAGAAGAAATCCTTTCTATTTCCATTAAACTTTATATCATTATTTTGGCCATTGGATGCAAATAGGATTGTTTCCTGAGGCTAATATTTATTCTAATAGTAATAGAGTATTCTATTACTATTAGAATTAATATTAGCCTCAGGAAACAATCCTATTTACATCCAACAGCCAAAATAATCCTTGATTTTCTTGGATTTAACCTCCACCTTGGGACAGTCAAACATCAGTTCTATCTTGTCTGACATGTCAAACATAAATTCAAAATACTTTGATACATTTTAGGCAATTTTTCCAGTGACAAACAACATCATCATTTTATAAAAGTTTTCTTTAAGATTATAACATAATATAAATTTCAGTCTTTTCATCCAGATAGCCTCCTACTGTTCTATTTGTATATTTTAACCAAATTTTAGCCTATTTTATTATATATTCACCCATCTTGAAGCTGCTGAGTTTCAGAAACACTGATATACATGCATGAATCACACATAAGCTTCTTTATTATTGATAGCCATTTATATGTATTTAATTCCATTGCTGTTGTTCCATTTTGATATTCTAGCATTCAGGCATTTGTGAAGTCTGGCTATTAAGATTGTACTT